CTATCTGTCTTATTTAAAATCAATTATAATTCTATATATTAACAAATATCAATCTAAAAGTGAAATGGAGAAAAATATTTTACAGAGAAGTCATCAGAATGAAATACTTAGGATTAAATATAACAGATTTGCAAAAAAAAAAAGTAGGTTTCAGATTGTTGAAAGAAGTTTAAGAAAATCTAAATAGTTGGGAAGATATTCATGGATTGTACTACAGTATTAAAGGCTAGTGCTCCAACTTGAACCACAGATTCAATGTAACTGGAGATACCAAAATAATTCAAATTCTAGCTGACTGTCTTGAAGAAGGGTATCCTGACATTCATAAGAACATTCAAAAACCTAGAATAACCAAAATAATAGTAGAAAGTATGAACAAAAAGGACTCACATATCTTTATAAATCTATAATCATCAATCTAATGTGGTTCTAGCCAAGTGCTGGGCATAGATCTATAATCCCAGAGGAGTAAAAGACCAAGGCACAAGGATCACAAGATCAAGACCATGAACTTAGGAGGGCCCTAAGCAACTTAAGAAAACCCTGCCTCAAAAATTAAAAGTAAAAAGTGGTGTGATATAACTCAGTCACAATTCACTCCTGGGTTAAATCCTCAGCCTCCACATTCATACCAACCCAATGTGATTCTGATGTAAAAATGTCAGTGGAGTACAATTTTGACTTAGAAAGTTTTCTCACTTGTGGTCAGTTGATTGTAACTGGAGATACTAAGATAATTCAGTGCTGAAAAAACAGCTTTTCCAAAAATAGCTGTAATATTCATGGGCAAAAGCAGGACTTCCTCTTTCACACCATTTGCAAAAATATGTAGAAATTTCCAAAAAGAAGAATCTTCTGGCTCATATTATAAAAGTCTTAGAATGTAAAAATAAATTTTTGTGACCTAAGATTAAACAAATAAAAGGTAAATCTTTTCTTATCATTTAAATACTTGTACTATTATCTATAACTTAAACTGATGATACTATGGCTTATGCCAAGGTTTTACTCAATTTCATTAAACAAAGAAAAGGGGGAAAACAGGACCCCACAGGCCCACATTCATAAATATATAAGATAAATTTATCTTATAAAATATCTTAATTTTTTTCTTAAATTGTGACATTGAGAGTTTTACTGTTGCTGAACATGATTCAGTAAATTAAATCAGATTTCAAAGATAGAATTTAAACCCTGATGTAATGAAAATGACTGAGAAACCTGGTACAGGAAAATAAATTTTCAACTACAGAGTTTACAACCATGCAGCTTTATGAGATTGTCAGGTAAGTAAAAATTATGAAAAGATTTCAATGGACCCATTTCTCAGGTCGATTTTTAATGTACACTGCAGTGTGGACTGGAAAGTCCACCCATGAATCTAGATTAATTGTACTGGTTACAATGGTCAGTTATACCTATATGTTGATCCTGTGATAATCAGGCTATCTGGGATTATCTTTTGAGGAAAAAGAAAGTATATATATTTACTTATCTGGACATTTGTCAGAAAGATTATTAAAAATAGATTTTTCTCATTCAGGCCTGTTATTTACATAAAATGTACACCAAAGTATTGTTGCCCTGATTATTCTATAATAGAAATTGGCACCTTTCCTAAGTAGATATATTGTACAAATATCTTGTCACTACAACACAAGGTATCTGAAATAGTGGATATATTTTAGGCTGGTCTCCTAGAATGGACTGGAACAATCACCTGAGGATGCCATAACTCCTAGAAACTTTAACTTTCAGTGAGATGGCACCCAAAAGAATGTTTTGATGTTTGACTTCTTCATTTTTTTTTTTTTTTACATTACTGATAGGCCTAGTAGACTCCTTAATGTGAGAATTTAGAGAAAGGATGATGAATATCCTGTATCCTGTAAAACTACAACTTATTGTATCATTAGTTATTGCCAGCTAATATTTCAGAGCTATAATATGCTGAAATTAATGTTCAGGCTTTGAAACAGGTGGATGTCAATTAATCAGACCTAGGCAAGCTCCTGCTCTTAGGAGTAACTATTGTAAATATTATTCCTTTCATCTACAATTACAGCCTATGTTTTAAACTTACAACATGTAAATTTTCTTAATAGTTTGTCTTAAATTACTTCCAAGATCCTTTATAGTTGGATAAGATTATTAAAATATATTTTTCTTATTCAGTCCAATTATTTACATAAAATATCCACCAGTGTATTGTTGGAAGAATGGAAACTAAGTTAAAATGCTCTAGAGGTCAATAATGTGAATGAGCCCTCTGCTTTATGGTGTGTGGAAAGGCTTAAATGCCATGCCAATGAAAATGTCTGTTACTATGGCCAAACACAATGCTTCCCAATAAAATTGGGAAAAGATTAAAAATCTTCTGATGAGTGTTTGCAGAATAATAATAATAATCTGGATCTTCCAAGTTGATTATGTCATTGAGATAATATGTTTTCTACTCATTCCTTTTGTGTTTCAATAGTAGATCCTGATGTCGGAACAGGAATCCAGTGACTAAAATATATGATTCGCTAATTGCCTTGAAATATTAAGGAAGGGAGAATATGTGAGGAACCACTTTGACTTACTATGGCTTCCAGTCCTGATACACCACAGGGATCTGAAAGATTATTATAGTCTGGCATGATAGTGCCATGACTTGTGACTCTCCCTGCCCCTCAACTCAGATAGCAAGGCCAGTCTTCTGAGTTGGCATACCCCTGGGGTTGAGTGACACTCACCAATTCCTTTGAAATCCTATCCCTTTGTAATATTCCATGGAAGCTCCCTTCTCTTGTGTGTCCCCTTCTCTTGCTCTGCCTTTGGATGTAGCCTTCATGGATGTCAGTAAATAGCTGACAATAGACATCATGAAGCTAGACTCAATTCCCTGAAACCTGACCCCTTGCCTCATTTAAAAGGCTTCTTCTCAGGAAAAGGGTTCAGTGACTGTGCACTCTCTCCCCCCACCCACCCAAGGTAAGAGAAGCCATCAAAGGACTCAAAGAAAAAGGTAAAAGTAAAAAATTTATAAGCATGCTTTTTGTATCTCAGTGGTTCATGAACCTTTCTTTAAGATTTAGTATTTTTTTCTTTATCCTAACCATCAAAGTATCACAAGTGAGAAATCCTATCTTTAGGAGACCCCCAGTCTTTTGACATTTTCAAATGGCAAGGCTGTTTGGCCTTTGCCTTAGAGGTATATTTTTATTTGTTTAATCTTCCATGGCTTTTTTTCTGGAAGTAAACTCCTTAAAGGTAATCTTATGTAGGTACTTACAGGTATAAATTTTCCTTTTAGGACCACTTTTGGGATGTACCAGGGATTTTGATATATTCTTTCTGTATTCTGGTTTGGTTTCTCAGTTAATTTATCTCTCATTCATCATTCAAAAGTGTATTGTTGTTGGCTGCAGTGGCACATGACAATAATTCCAACACTGAGAAGGCTGAAGCAGGAGAATCACATATCCTAGGCCAGCCTCATTAATTTAATGAGGTCATAAGCAATTTAGTGAGATCCTGTCTCAAAATAAATGAAAAGGACTAAGTATTCTACTCTGTGGTAAAATGTCAATCCCTAGTGGAAAAAATGCATTATTTAATCTCCATGTATTTTTACATTTCTAGAAGTTCTTCTTGCTTTTCATTTCTGATCTTAATCCATTTGTATTTTACAAGATGCAAGGAATCATACTTTTTTGAGGGGGCATGATACTTACTATTTGCTGTAACTCATTTGGTAGCCTATAATATTGTCTGTTTTGGAGAATGTTCCATGAGCAGTTGAGAGTAAAGTGAACTCAGCTCTTGTTTGATGAAATATTCTATATATGTTAGTTTGTTAGGTCCATTTGATTTACAAGTTTTAGGTATGAAGAGGCTTTATTGGACTTTGGATAACCGATTTGTGAGAGTAGTATGTCAAAGTCATTCATTATTATTGCATTGGGTTGTATTTGATCCTTTAATGTTTGTTCATTTGTTTTACATCAGGTACACAGATGTTTGGAGTACAAAAGTTTACTGTCGTGTATTCTTTTTGGTGTATTTCCTTTGCAGTAATAATAAACTGAGTTGCACATACCTGTAATCTCAGGCACTTGAGAGACCAAAGCAGAAGGATTACAAGTGTTAAAGACATGCTTTCATCTTTTCTTACAAATTTTCATTGGGTCCTTACTCATGCTAATAATTTTCATTTCATTTCCTCCTTTTTCATTTTATTTTGTATCTGTCTTAAGGTATTGATGACTAATTCTCTTTTATATTCTGTCATTATTATTAGCTTTGCAAATATTGCAGATAAAATCTGGAATTTGGCCTGGGGATATAGTTCAGTTGGTAGAGTGTTTCCTTTGCATGCAAAAAGCCCTGGGTTCAGTCTCCAGCACCACAAAAAATAAAAATAAAAAATAAATAATAAAAAAACAGACAAAAAAGCTTGAAATTTATTTGAGAGAGAGAGAGAGAGCTAGCTTAGATTTATTTGCATATGTGGAAAGCCTTAGACACTGTATATTTTTAAACTAAAATAACAGTAATTTTCTACGATTAACTCAATTAAAAAATAGTATTTCATATCCTAATGACCAATATCTAGCAATAAGTGCAACTTGTGGAGTTTATTACTTTGAAAGACATAGAAACAGGAAAAGACACCAGGATGAGTAGTTCTTTCATTCTTCATTGATATCTGATTGGTAAGAGCTGGTATTATTACATCTCATGAAAATTTGATTATTTAAAACTTATTTTTCCTTTTTCTCAAAACATTTTTGATTATCTGTTTATAAAGCATTTTCTGAAATGAAATGGCAAATATATCATGTGGTTCAATATTTATTAGGTGTAGAATTATCATATGGAATTCTACATTTATATCTACCTATTAATGTTTTTCATGAATATTAAATTATACAGATTTTTTTTCTATTTGAATTGGCTACCATATTAATTAACTGATTTAAAAAAAATAAATCTGAATTGTCAGGACCTCAAGAATGGAGACAGTGCTTGAAAGGCCTGATGAAGAAAATATTGATGGAGTTTCATCTTTTGAAGAAAGAATGGTCCTGGGCCACAGATCCCATATAAAATTTCCATTTAGTATTATTTTTTCAACTCTTCTCTATTGTGGTGAGACTGTCTCTGCTTTGTATATGTTTAACATTTATCGAAATAATAATGACAAATTCTGGATGTCATTTACCATCGGCTTCTTTTTTGTGGGAATAGTTTTGGACCAGGTTACCCTAATGTTTTTTCACAAAGATTTGAACAAAAATAAAGCTATACTACTATTTTGGCACATTTTTTTTTTAGGACCGATAGTGAGGTAAGTGCCTTTTTTTCCCCCTTTACTTATTGTTTCAAACAGATTATAAATACTAGACTTCCAAAATTTAGGTTGTAAAACCATTGTCTTGAGAAATGTTTTCCTTTTAGTTTGATTTTCATACTTCTAGAACAGTCAGTAAATAATTATCATTGTCTATAATGAAATAGGAATCAATTGTTTTCTGTGTTTTGTGCATTTATCAAATTTTGATCTTCATCATTTCTCTCTTTCTGCCAATATAGTTTTTTTTTTTTTTGGTTTGGTTTGGTTTTTCTGTTTGATGTGGGGGTTTGAATTCAAGGGCACTGGACCATTAAGCCACATTCCTAGCCCTTTTTGTATTTTATTTATAGAGACAGGGTCTCACTGAGTTGCTTATGGCTTTACTAAATTATGAAGGCTGGCTTTGAACTTGAAATCCTCTTGCCTCAGTTTGCCAAGCCTCCTGGATTACAGATGTTTCACTGTGCCCAGCCCAGGTATTTTAAATAGTTTGGAGAAATAAAGATAACAGTTTATATTTTAAAAATGAGAATAGAAAAAGGAGAGAAACTCTTTGAAAAATCATCTCATTTTCCTTGTAAGTTGAAGGGATCTACCATTTTAATTGTAGGTTTTCAAGGCACCTAGAATTTATAGCTAAAACTTGAAATATTAATATGTAGTTACATAGGCCATAGTGTGGATGCCTGTAATTCCATCCACTGGAAAGGCTGAGACAGGAATATTCAAAATTCAAGGACTACCTCAGCAATTTAGCTAGTCCCTATCTTAAACAATAAAAAGGTTTGAGAATGGACTCTGGAGTAGACTGTCTCTGGTACAAAAAAA